TTTGCCATGCTTTCAGATCATAATGAATAAAATTTAAAATCAATGAGAAAGTGTTATAAATCCTCATATCTTGTAACTAAGAAACTACAAAGTGAAAGCTGAGTTAAAGAGGAAATGAGAAAATTTGAAAAATACTTAATACATAATTCCGATGGAATCCTCACATGCCAAAATATGTGAGTCAAAACTGAGAAAGCACTTGTAAGAAAATCTATAGCTAAAAATGCAATTCAAAAGTAAAATGTTTCTAATATACAGCCACTAGAATGGCAAAAGGTAAAAATACAGACAATTATAATTATCAGTAAGAATGTGAAACAATAAATATTCATATATTGCTGGTGACAAAGTAAATTAGTACAGTCAATTTGGAAAATTTTATACCTTGATGGTATCTTTTAAACTTGAACACTTGAGATGTGCCTGGATGGCTTAGTTGGTTAAAGCATCTGACTCTTGATTTCAGATCAGGTCATGATCTCACAGTTCATGGGCTTGAGCCTCGTATTGAGCTCTGTGCTGGGAGTGCAGAGCTTGTTTGGGGTTCTCTCTCTCTCTCTCTCTCCCTCTCTCTCTTTGCCTCTCCTCTGCTATTGTATGCATACTCCTTCTCTCTCTCAAATAAATAAATAAATAAATAAATAAATAGACTTAAAAAATAAAGCCGAATACTTGAATATTTTTTGACCTGATATTTGCACTCTTAAGTACATGCTTAATAGAAACATTTGCAACATTTATCAACCTTTAAGACATGTACTAGAATGTTCATGACAGCACTATTTTAATTGACCTCAAACTGGAAACTATGCAGATGCCCAACAATATTAGAGTGGAAATTAAATTATAGCATATCCATATAATGTAACACTTTCCAATAAGAAGAATGAATAATCTGGACTACATGCAATATGAATAGATCTCATAAGCGTTATGTTGAGTGAGATAAACAAGTCATAATATACACTATTTAGAAGAAATACTGTAGAATTCTATACAGAATGCTGCTATAGAAGAGGGTAGAAACAAAGGAACTATAAGAGGGCTTTTGAGAGGTTATGATTGATTGAGGCTGCTAGTTTCACAATGAAGTCAGTTTATCAAAATTATGCTAGCTGCGCTCTTAAACACACTCTTTAGTAGTTTGTATTACACTTCAATAAACAGTTTTAAAAGATGAATAAATGTTAAAAATACATAAATGCTCAAATCAAGACTTCAAAAAGAATAAGGAAACAAATTCAACATGTGAAGAATAAAAAAAGTTGGTTTTGAAAAAGAGCCAAGAGCAATGAATGAGCGCAAATTACAAAGCCTGGTTCAGGCTTGAGGATGGCTGAGAACAATGATTTGGATTAAATTAAGGCTAGTATCACCTTCGTTTCTTACAGAATCATCCACAAGTAGTTCAAATTCAAACCCAATTTATTGTCACAGATGCAAGTGATTACATTTTCCTCCCTTCAAACAGAAGAAAAAATCAGAGAGAAAGAACTCCCAGAGGAAAGAAAAATACATATATATAATGCATAATAATATAATATAATTAATATATTTTTCCATCTCATCTATTATGTTTCCTTAATTTAGGAGACATCATAGAAGCTGGTGACTCTACTGACTTTCCTGTTGTCTTTAATAATTCTCCATCTCAAGGAGTAGTAGCCCCACTTCCATATTAATGCTAACTCCTGGACACTTGCATGATCTATAGAATGTAGAATGGCTTAATAATTGGGAGAGGCCTTCATGTTCAGCTATTAGCAGCCAGGTAAGCTCTGGAATGCGGTATGCTGCAGTATCTGGGCCCAAGGAATAGATTGAAGTGTGCCATTCTGAGAAGTGACCTAGATATACCCCCTCTTTTTCATTTGCAATATTTCCTGCAACTACCATATGCTCTTATTGCATTTGGCAAGTTGAAACCTCCCTTCTCAAATCCAGTGCTCTGCTTGTACTTAATTAAATAGATAATAAGATTATAAAGCACATGATCAATGGCAGGCACAGAAGACCCAGGTAGAAGCAACCAAGCCATAAGGCTCCCATGTGGGTGTCCCCAGTTATAGTACAAATGAAGAGTGTCCTAACCCATACCAGTTGTAAGCCATCTGTCATGCAGCATCTGACACTGGATGCTACAGGGAGCCTTGACTCAGTGAGACCCAAGATTAAGTACTGATCTCACCTGGGGAAATTTACCAGTCGAGGTTAGCCCATGTCCAAGGTCCTAATCCTCATCCCTAATCCTGAACCCTCACTTGGGCTAGAGGTTAAAAAAAGTCCTCCCAAACTGTCTTTGAATTTTAAGTTGTACTCAAGCAGAGATCTTAGAGGCCTGACTGCCTTTTCAGAGGCCCTTTCCTAGACTTTTAGATCCTTCTTTCTGTTCCTTTCTGCCTTAAAACAAAACAAGAAGGAGATGTAGTTCTTGGCCTTTATTTTGGTCTTTCTCCTTTCTCACTTGTAACCTCTAGGCGATTCTAGCAACCCTGCCACAACTAGTCCAAAGTCCAGAGTATACTGACAAAATATTTGTCATGGTCTTGTGTATGTATGTGTGTGCATGTGCACATGCATATACACACATGTAAGTTGGTAAGGAGATGGGGGGAAAAAGGGTTGTCTGCTACTAGAAAAGTTGATGAGTAAAATGTGGAGGAGGCATATTGTATAATACACATAAGAGTCAGCACAAGCTGTCTAGAAGAATAGTAGCACACTTTACCCTGATACCTTAACCTTTCCTCAAAAAGGAGGACAAAGAAACTCTTTAGTTTTATCAGGCAGCGTTTAAAGAGAGAGTTGCTTCTTTGAACTTGATTGTCCTTATTTAGACAAGGTGAACTGTCATGTCTCCTGCTCTCTGGATGTTTTCTTATGGATACATATATGCATAATAGTTTTTTGTTTTTTTTTAAATCAGAATAGTGTGTATTGTTGGTCTTTGTCTCTACATCTGACTGGCAACCCATTCTGATCACCTGACAAAGGTTAACATAATCTTCTACTTTGTAACTTAACTGATCTAAAGTTTGGGCTGTTCACCAAACTTAAAAAAAAAAAAAAAAAGCAGCTGCCTTAAAAAATATTATGTTTATTCTCATTAGCCTGGCTTATGAAATGTATATCACTCACTGAACTATAAGCTAAACTAGTATAAGGACTTACTTTGTCACATGTACAAATTTACCTGTGGAACACAGTACATTACTGGTTTCAATGTATTTTTTAAATGATGAATGCCTTTTACATTCTGGCCTAGTTCTATATCCCAGCTCTTCCTATGTATTCTCACTCATATATGACTTAATAATCATGAGTGGAACTTCATACCTGTCACTTGCTTTTATTTTATGAAAATGTTTTTCAAAGCTATAGATTAAGAAGTTTTTAAAACTTAGAATTGTGGTAGGAATTACCTCTGGTTCCTTTCTATACTGGATACAGAGGAATATTATGCTGCCCTGTTCCCTGATGTTAGCATGTTTATATGACACTTTGGCCAAGAAATAGTGAGTGGACGTGACATATACCACCCGAATGGAAATATTTAATTGCTAATGATTGAGTATTCCATTCACTTTCTCTGTGGCACAGAACTAGAAAGTTCTATATTCTAGATATATGTCTACAGATGGTGGAGTCTCTTTCAACCTGACTCACTGAGTTTCCTGTTAAAAAAGTTTCTTCAGTGACCACTTAGATTTATAGAATTTACCTAAGTGTTAAATCACTGAGATTAGAGAGTTGTTTGTTGTTCAGAACATAGTCTGTTCTGACCAAAATAGAAACCTTTTCACTTCATTGTGTTTTATTATGCTGTCTCCCCACCCACCCCCCCCCCCCCCGCCCCAAGGAATGAGTAGTATCTCCCTTAAAACTGAAAGGACCTGTATATTCATTTGCAGAGATCAAAGGAAAGAGCTAGCTAGTGGGATCGACCATTCTTGCTTGTAAAAGACCCACAAGTGAAAGAGTAGGTGGAGAAAGAAGGCGGAGGCCCTGGGATTTGGTATTATGGTTCCCACTCCCAATCCATTCCTTTTTGGTGTGTTCTACCTATTCGGGCTTGTAGTAAGAGGCAAGAATTATAACTCACATACTATTCTTCCTCAATTGCTACTAGCCTATATCATTTATTAAAACTGTAGTAAAGGGAGTTTTATTTTCCTTAGGAGAAGAATAGCTTCACTTAGTGGTAAAGTTAAAGATGGTTGTGAAACTAATTATTTAGTAAAATGTGGTTTAGTTAGGCCTACTGTGACCATGCCTGTGAAATTAAGGTTAGGTAGCTACTAAAACTGGGACTCATTCAGGCATGAAGTTCCAGTGAAGTCCTGTTTTGCTACAACACAACATCTAAACTTGTTCAATATCTGCTCCAGACGCCTCCAGAGACTCCACTCTTTCTGCTTTCTTTGTTATTGCATAAGAACATCAAACTGCACCCCCTATTCTTTATTATTTCCGAATTTTCATGTTCTGCAGAACACATCATTCTGTATGCTGAATGAGTTATAACAAACTTTTTCATAGATACATATGTAAAAATTGGTTAAAAATAAATACAATTACATATGCTTTGGTGGCAAAATATTAAGCAAATCAATTAACATAAAAATACTGTTGAACTTTATTAGTGGGACTGCATAGCAGATAGTTTTTTTTTTACTGATTTATGTTAATACTGATCATACAGTACTTATAAAATAGTGACACTTTATTGGTAAATAACCAAGTTTCAGGGTAAAAGTATGAGAACCAGTGGGACTGATGTGAAGTTTTTATAAGTTTACAGCTCGTGTTTCACTCGTTAACATTTATACTGGATATTTGGAACTTGATATTTTTCATCTATTTGTGTTCGTCACTTTATTTTCAATATGCCATTTATGGGGCATTCTGTCTTATATACATTTGTTGACACCAGATATGGAAAGGTTGCAAATAACATAGCTGAGCAGAATAAGTGAGAATAGGATAGGTCAGACTCACTGTGGCAAGAAATTGGATGTTACAACGGATCCAAATTTATTTTGGGAATTTGTTATAAACCACTAGATCAAAAACACCATGAAGTTGAGGAAATGGTCTGTGAAATAAAAAGAGCCTGTGATAAAGGGGAAGAGAACTGATGAAGGATTTTAATTACCTAGCACATAAAGGAAAAATCTAAAAATTATGCTGTTCAGAACTATATAATACTGTCTTATAGTCAAGCATATTACTTCTATTACCTTTTTTACTCGAATTAAGATAAAACTTTTGTATCATCTCAATCTATACATATATTTTCAGATCATCTGTTTAGTTTTGCATTACTAAAAGTTGTGATTTTTATTTAGTTGGCATAGATATTCTACTTTTTTTTAATTTGGCTGCTCAATGATGATGAAAAGTAGAAAGATGATTAATAATGATTATACATCCATAAAATCAATTTGTCACATTCACAAAGTTTTTCACTGAATATAATCCAAATTAAAGTTGATTTTGCAGCTTTCTCTTGGTTAAAAAATAATCCTTTGATTATGATTGAAAGGCAGATCTAAAACAGACCAGAAATCTGTTAATTGGTTATTAGGAAAATCAGATTCAAAATAAATTATATTAATATGTGTTGTTCAAAAAAAGAACCATGAGGGCTCAGCACATTTAGAGTAGAAAAAGCACTAAAAGTCTACCTAGATATATTTTGGGATATATCTGTGTTGTTGAGTGTTGAAAGAAAAAGCAAGGTGATGAAATGTCAAAAACTCAAAACTAAATTTACATAAAAGCTCCACCTAAATGGCCAAATGAATTTGAACATAATATAATATTATCACAACTATGCCCTTTAACTCAATTTATTGCTACCACTTTGTCTTTAGAGGAAAAAAGAAAGAAAGAAAATGAAGAGTTAGGCTAAGTGTTTGCAACCAACTAGAATTTCATCAGTCTGGATTCTAAGTGCTAATTGGTATAACTTCTTAGGTAGGCACCTCTTATTATATACCAAAACCTCTTATGAGGAAGCTAGATTTTTTTTTTTCCTCAGGCCAGTGGAATCTGATGGGTTTCTATAGGAGAATCCTAATCAGCATAAAAGATCCATTATTTTTACTAATCACTGTTATTCTTCAATCATAATTCTTCACATAATTCTTCAATAATAATGTACATTTAATAAATGTCTTTTTGTAAAGGGATAAAAGACATTTTTAGTGCTTTAGGTTATAAAATAATAGTTTGTAGGTAGATTCAAGCATGATGGCTTTCTCATCTTCTACAAGCATGACAACCCAGGTTCTAGAACATAGACTTATTTTACTTTACCACTAAATATTATAAAAGGCTACAGTGTTCTTCTGTATTCATTGCTGTATACTTGAACTTTAGTGTTACCACAAGATAAAAAATCGTGAAAACTTACTCTAGATATGACTTCCTCTGATAAAATTTAGAGTAGTACATTGATTAAAACTAAGTTTCTGAAAGTTGCCAGCCAGAGTTCATAGCCCAGTGCTGGCATTTGATAGCTATAGCCCCTTGGGCAAGTTTCTTATTCTCTTGGTGTTTCAGTTTCCTCATCTGGAAAATGAAGAAAATAATTAACTTACTTATGTTACAGGATTATTGAAAAAGTTAAATGAAATAATAATATAAAATGCTTATTAGAACAATATCAGGCATGTGCAACTTGTGTATGAAAGTGAGATTTCATTATCTTTGTGCTATTATTTTACTTTTGAATGTTAGAGATAAATGGTTCCATATAAGAATACATATTGTTTCAGTGACAAATTTGAAATGATCTTAGAGTTGGATGTCAAATACTATAATTGGTTCTCTTTTGGGTCCATAGACTTCACTGTTCCTAGGTATATAAATTCATTTCCAGGGACTTAGTAGGAAATAAGTATAACCCAGCCACTACTTTAACATTTCATGTTATTTTGGCCAGTCTAATTGGAAGTGGATAGAAAAATTTTCTCCTTGATACAAAATTGAGCTAGATGTTTTAAAACATAGAACTATTCTCTACTTTTATACCAGAATTTCAGTAATAATTTTTTTCTCTGTTTAATATATAGACTATTTTTTTTCTCATTTAGAAAATTAACTTTGCTAGAAGTAATGGTAATACTTAATTCACTTGAACACACATCATGAAATAGTGAAGGCTTTTTTCAAGCGGTTTTCTTTATTATAATCCAGATAAGTATATTAAAGCCAAACTGATTGTACATGGTAAAATGGTTATAAAGTCACATATAAGTTAAAGCAGAGATCAATAGTCATAGAAATTTTCAATATTATACTTTCTTCCTGGACATTCCTTACACCATATGGGTTAAGAAATCCATATCAAGCTGTACTCAAAGTTTGTGGATTTTAGAGTATTCTTTGAAATCCTTTAATTATAATAACTTCCAAAGTTGTCCCCTAGAACTCTCACCCTACTGGGAATCAAGCTTTCTCTTGTCATCCAAGTCTATTTGGGAGGATGGGATTTGGAGGTAATCTTAAGAACCAAATTGTTACTGACAACATTATCTTTTTGTATTGGAGTGTTTCTGATCCAAATCCGTCCTGTGAGCTCTTGGCACTATAAATTCTTCTTTATCCACAAGATGTGAAAAATCTGAGTTGACTAGACATCTTGGGATCTATGACAAACCCCAATATTACTAAATATATGTTTCAGGTTTGTTTGGGAGTAGTTGTGAAAAAGACTTAAATAAACCATTAGTTTCAAGTCCTGATTTACTAACAGAGGAAAAATAATACATGTAAATCAAACCTACTTTAAGTCATTACAATAATTTTTGTCTCAATATTGTGATCTTCTTTGAATTAATATTATGGCAAAAGCACATTTTTTCTACAAGTTCAGATAATATGTTAGATACAGTCTACTTATATTTTCTCATATATATACATATATATATGTATATATCTATGTATACATATATGTATATATATATGTGTATATATATATATATATATATAAATATATATATATAAAAGAGATCTATTTCTTAGTTAGTCATAAGTGCCTGGAATTTTCTGTTGAATATTACATGTAAGAATTACAAAAATATCAGCACTTAACAGAAAACCATTTATGACCCTGAGTCACAGGTTTAGTTGGTTATGTCACTGTGGACAACTAAGAGAATCATAAATAGGCTTTTGTTGGGCTGTAGATACAATACTAAGAGAAAAGCAACAATTTGGATCTTTTGTTTTAAGCTTGAAAAGTCATGGAGTTGAGAGGCTGTTAAATTCAAAAAAATTAAATTATAATTTAGAAAGTAACTGCACATAATTAAGTATACAAAATTACATCAGAGAATAGAGGTAATTAGTTAGATTTTTCACTGTAAACCCCAAAGGTAATTTTCATCTGGGTTGGAAAAATATTTGAGGCAATATTTTATTTCTCAAAAATAATGCCTTTATTTTCGTATTTCACTTAAACATCATTAAAATACTTATAAACATATAACCATATCTTTCACAAATTACTACATTTTATGTACTATTAAGTCAAATTATTTACAGTCACATGAAGTAACTCAAAAATTTTCAGGAAAATTTTGAAAAATGAAACAGTATTTTGGATATAAAAATTAACTTTTTGTGATTTGAAAATCTCTTCTGTTAAAACAATTATAATCTCTTCTATATATTTCTGTTTCAAAATGCTTAATTAAGTACTTAAATTGTATGTCAAATGTTTAATTATTATCATAATAACAAATACCAGAGGGAAACAAACAAAATCCACGTGCAAAAATCTATACTTTTATTGGCTTAATAGCACTGTCTTCTTATGAAAGAGAAATAAATATTCAAGTTACTGATTATTTTGTTAACAGGATAAACAATCTGCATTAAGAGTGTTTCTTTACAGAAAACAAAACCATAGTAGAATATTCATACACTTTCTAGTTGCTAATAATCCAATTTTTTTCTCTTTTTGAGAAAATTGCAGTTCTTGCCATAAACATGACATTATTTGCCTTCACTTGACTGAATTATGATTTTGACTACATTTTACAAGAGACATAGGAGGAAGAAAAAAATTAGACCAGATAAAACATTAGGATGGGGAAAACTAACTCCAAAAGGCAACTTTTTTCATGATTTTGTAATCGTAAAACGTAATCTGAAGTAATATGTGCATATTTCCCTGGGAATTATTTTATATTCACAGCTATCTTATGCTTGAAGTTATTTCCTCTTTTTAATGTGAACAAAGAATTTGATCCTTGGCAAACATCTCATGAGGATATGAACTCAAATATTTCATTTAAATATAATTTTTTAATTTAAACACATTAATAAAACCGAGAAAAACACTGAAAAATCAGAAAATGAATTTAAAGATAGTAAGTTTCTTTATTATGGTTTTTTCCACTGTTCTGTCACAGTAGAATTTAACTTCTTAATAAGACAATTAAAGACAATGAATTATTTGTGTGCATCAAGTAATTAGAGACTTTAGCTCCTCTAGTGTTAAATCATTTTCTTTCTTCTTAAGAAGTTTAAATACCTGTTAATAACTATTATTCAACTAAAAAATTTTGGTTTAGAAGTCAACTAAATATTTCAGGAAGCATCACAAGACATGACAAAGACTAATTTTAGATGAAGGTCTTCTCTCTGATTCCAGTCCTTATTTTGAACATTAAATAATAAAAGATATTTGAAGTACCTACCCAATTGCACTCAATAAAAAGCTATTATTGTATTATTAAATATTATTATGCAATGTTTCATCCATAGAATAAAGGTAAGTAACATAGTTATTGTTCATCATAGAGAAACACTCACATACACAACATTCAAACTCAAAATGCAGCTTGCACAGCCTCCTGCCCTTTGACCACCCAGAAGAAACCACAATCCCGGATCTTACACAGATCATTCTCTTACTCTATGTACATTTACATGCACATGAATCACAGCTATAGGGACTTCTAATAGGAAAAACTGTTGCTTACTTTTAGCTGAATTCCTAATATGGCTCTCATGCTATATGTATTTTTAGGGATTTACTTATTTAATTGAGTACTATATTGTTAGGATTAACTCATTTCTTTGAACGTCATGTAATCTTTAATCCTAAAGTACAGCAACCATGTAAGTAACACATTTATTTACCTGACTTTTTTTCTTAAATATTTTAACTTTTTTATTAGTTTAATCTACATACAACATTTACCATATTTAGTGTAAACTTCTGGAAGTTTTGAAAAGCACTCAGAGTTATGTGGCCAGCACCACAGTCAAGATATAAAACAGTTCCATTATTCCAAATCTTCTCCCATGCCATGTTGTAGTCAACCTCTAACTACCAGCCTCTGGCAACACCGATGTTTCCTGTTACTGTAGTTTTCCATTTTCCACGATGTCATACCAATGGAGTCATATTGTATTTAGACATTGGAAACTGAATATTTCCAAATAGCACGATACATTTGTGATTCATCCATGATTTTGTATGCTTAATGAGTTTTTTCTCTTTAATTTATAGATATTCTAGTAGTGTATTTATTGGCTCACCAGATGAATGACATTTGGATTGTTACCAGTTTTAAGTGATTGATTGCACATAAATCCACTATGCATATTCACTTAGTAGGTTTTATGTGAACATGTTTGCATGTCTTTGAGTGAGTATCTAAAAGTGAGATTCCTAGAACATATGGTAAGTGTATGTTTAAGATTATAGGAAATTGCCAAACTGGCTGTACAATTTTGCATTGCCACCAGCTACTTATAACCGTTGAATTTGTTTTGCAACCTACCTATCCTGGCCATACTGTGGGGATGTTTTTCTAATTTTGGTTGTTGTCATTTTATTTTGTTTTTTCCATTACAGTAGGTATAGATTGACTCATTATTGTGTTTTAAATTTGCATTTCCCTTCTGACTAATAAAATTGAGAATCTTTTTTTGACACTTTCCAATTTTTAAATTCATATCTGATGTATAGCAGGGACTCAAAGACATTCTGAAAAAAAAACATTATTCTAACAACATTTTGGAAAATTTCCTCAACATTCCCTATCATAAAAAAAAAAAAAAAAGTTCAGTTCTCTTCTCTCCAAAAAAAATTTAAGGGTACCAAGAAGAAAGCCAATAGTTACTGTAGTTAGTGTTCTAAAACTAAATCTTTCCCTAAGAATTAGTCTAATGATGATCTAAATAGACTATCTAAATAGATAAGCTATTTAGCAAGTTAAGTCCAGAAATTAATATGTATGGAAGAAATGCTTCATTCATAGATTAGAGAAAAATACTCCAAATAGTCGAGAAATGGAAGTCTCTGAAAATAAATCTGAAACTCAGCATACATCTTTTTTTTTTCCCTTAGGTACCTCTTGTGTTTTTTATTTTATTAGCCTTTTGTAACAAGACTTTCAACAAGACTATTTTGGAATCTTGAAGGCTTTTGGAAGCTTCTGCATACAAAGTCAAATAGGCATCATGCTCTGTTTAAGTAATCTGGGAACCCTTACTCTCAAATGTACCTCTTAAATAAGTTTCTTGTCTAATTGGAACATTTCTTACAATGACCACTATATTTCTGTTATTATTCTTTTAACTTTTTAAAATGTTTGTCCATTTTTGGGAGACAGTACAGAGCATGAGCAGGACAGAGAGAGAAAGTGAGACAGTATCTGAAGCAGGATCAAACTCACTGTCAGCACAGAGGGGCTCAAACTCACTGACTGCGACATCATGACCTGAGCCAAAGGCAGACGTTCAACTGACTGAGCCACCCAGGCGCCCCAATTCTAGGTTATGTTTAATATTTTTTTCATCTTGCTAGATGTCTGCCAACTTCTGGGGACTATAGTTATTAGACATAAAATAAACAAGTGTACAGGAAGGTAGCCGACTTGACTCTTTAGAATTTAAAGATCTCATTAGCTAAGATTTTGTATTTCTCAGAGCCCAACACATACCTGAAAGGGATGTGCTGAAGATTCAGGGATTGTCCATGTTTTACAGTGTTCCATGGGGCATAGATTTCTTGAGGTTGCCAGATGACCTATGCCAATGTAACAGTGTCATAAACAACTTATCCTTACCATGGGAGTATTCTTGAGGTGGTGAGTGCTCCAGAAGCTTTTAAATGTTCAACCCATGCCCTCCATTTTTTGCAGTTTTTTGGCTTCCAAGACCCCACTAACAATAGCCTTTATTTACACAAAAAAGATAAACGTTCAACTTAATATATTAGCAGTACTGTGTCCTGAACATAAGAAGGCCTTGTACACACCACCGCCAATTCCCAGGGAAGCTCACTGAGGTTTACCACCTGGGTAATTGTTGCATGAAAGACTAGGCGTGTGGCTCTGAGCAAACCCTTCTGCTAGCTTAGGATGACCCACCTTGCAAAGGAAAACCATTTGAATAGGGGACCTAAACACAAAACAGCACGGCTTAGACAGAGAGGAGCTTACCCACAGTCCCTGGAAACTTCAAGAAAGTAAATTCAAAGATTTGCAAGTACCATGCTTATGTTTCTCATTTTCCTCCATATGCTGCTGGATGTTTGCTTCAGGACTTGTTGTTGCCATCAAATCTATTAAATAACAAATTTTAACCAAGTAAATTTGAGGATCTAATTGGCTTTATTAAATGGTTCATGAATGGGATAGCAAGCACCCCACCTAGCAAGTAGAGAGGCACTCCCATTAGCATAGTTATTCAAAACCAACCAATTATTCCTGTTGAACTAGGCTGGCTATGGAGATTCTGTAAATTGAAAAATTGTTTGTTTAGGTCATATATCTATGGGAATTTTCGTTTCTATCATTAATCACCATTTTGTAACCATAGCTACTTCTAATAATTTCAAGGTATTTGTGCTTTGGAACATAAAATAATGCCCTATAGACAAATTGCATTAGAATAATAGTTAAATGCTACAAGTTCTTCTAGTGCATGTTTGACCTATATTTAGCCCAGCAGAGCTAATCAGGTAGAAACTTAATCAGTGAATCTAATCAGCAAAAAACTAGGACTGTACTTACAGACACTAGACCCTTTTTACCAGAAAAAATGAAGTAGTATTTTTTAAGTGGTTACAGTTAAAAAAATTGTCTTATCAGTTTCTCATTTAGTATAGGTCCTGTCCTCTAGAGAGTTCAACATTCATTGGAACAAATTCAGTTTTATGCATACATTTAAAAAGCAAATACATCAAGCTACTTCGTCTTGCATTAAGACATGCCAACTATATACAATCAATCTGATAGGTTTAGAGAAAAAATATAATTGTAGAAATAAAGTACTATTTGAATCAATTTTCTCTTGAAATACATACCTCCTTGGCTGCAATGCATTGCATAAATTAATTGATGTAACTGAATCACAAAAGAACAATTTTGCTTCATTTCCCCTCAATTTAATTTAGCTCTAGTAAAAAAAATAAAACTCTCTTGAGAATAAATGATGAATGCTTTCAAAGTGTATAGATAGATCAGTATTTAACAATGTAGAAAACTGATTGTTTTTAAATAAAAGAATACCAGAGTTTCACCCTTCACATTAGTAAGAAAATCATGTGTGCATGAACATGCTTAAATGCAAAGATTGGCCATTATTATAAATACAGGATCATTATCTTTCCTTCCATATTTATCATGGTTACCAAAATTTGTATGCAGCCACAGTTCTTGTTAACTCATAAGACAATGAATCTTAGATAGTGAATGGGCTCAACGAAAGAAAGAAAAAAAGACAATAGAGTGAATATAGCAATTCCTGAACCAGAACAGCTTTTCTTAGGATTTTATCACTTCATGTTGACTAGCGTTTAGTTTGTTTTGTCATTTTATCTTCTAAGGGTAGGTCCTACATTACAAAATTGAGATTTAAAAATGGAGTTTTATTATCCACTTCAGTGTTTGACACATGACTGGTAACATAATATAGATTATTTATTGAAACCAGTGGTAACACCTATCAGCTCTCAAAGTATATAAATGGAGAAGGCTTTTAAGCAGCAGAAATACAATGAATACCTGGTCGCTGAATTTCAGTAAACTGACAATCAAGTACTCTTGTGGGTGTCAATATATGACAAAGTCCTTCCTGCCAATTGCATCTTTAAAGCATAAATCTTCTGACACATCTTGTCAAAAGGTTTCTCTAGTATTTAGTTTGGAGCTATGTCCACAGACACTACATCCTTGGGACTAAACTACATCTTATATATTATATACTAGTATATGTCTCAATAGAATCTTATGAAAAATGATAATTTTCACCATTTTTAATCACCTCAATTGTAGTTATTTACTTGCTTACACATAATACTGAAGGACAAATCTAAGAGTTGTTTCCTGGTACATCTGATTACAAAACTCTTTAGCTTCTGTGCTATGCTACATTATTTCATGTTAGCCCGACTTCTTCAAATATAATGATGGAAGAGGGAAAATTCTGCACAATTTATAGCATGAGGTTGCCTACCATGTTGGTTAATATCACAAATCCTGGAGCCACAGAGCCGAGGTAGATGAGGGATCTCCAGAGAAACAGAACCAATAGGAGGTTCTATCTATCTATCTATCTATCTATCTATCTATCTATCTATCTATCTATCATCTATCTATTATAAGGATTGGCACATGAATATGGAGGCTGAGAAGTACCACAATATACCATTTACAACCTGGAAACCCAGGAAAGCTGGTAGTGTAGTTCCAGTCTGAGTTCCAAAGCCTGGGGACCAGGAGAACAAATAAAGTAAATTACAATGTTTCCAAAGACGTGAGAACCAGTAGTGTGAGTCCCAATCCAAGGGCAGGAGGAGACTGACGTCTGAGCTAAGCAGTCAGGCAAAGAGACGATTTTCCCTCCCTACACCATACCCAAGATAAATGAAAACATGTCCACCCCAAAGCTGTGCGTGAGGTTTTACAGCAACGTTATTTATAATAATTAAAAGGTGGAAACCACTTCAATGTCCATCAATAAATAGATGAATAACCAAAAGTGGTAAATAGACACAACATAATATTATTTAGTCATAAAAAAGAATGAAATACTGAGATAGACTACAACATAGATGGACCTTGAAATATGCTAAGTGATAGAAACTAGCCACACACAAAAAATCACGTATTATATTTCATTTACATGAATTATACAGAATAGGCAAATCTATAGAGGAAAAATCACAAAATATTTCCTTAGGATAGAGGACAGGGGATGGAGGGATAAAGAGATGATAGCCAAAGGGTATAGTTTTCTTTATGTGGTAATAAAAATGCTCTAAAATTGACTCAATGGTGGTTGCATGTATCTTTGAATATGATAAAACCATTGCATTACACACTTTCAATGAGTGAATTGTATGATTTGTGAATTATATCTCAATAAAGCTGTTTAAAATATAAAACTACTTGACTGGCAGCACAGCCAATACATGTATTAGCTGTTATTATTATCTGTTCTTTCTGACATGTACCACTAGACACAAAACCATTAAATCCTATATTCAGTTGCCTTTAAATTAAAACTGCATTCCAAGGGTTTTTACCTTCTGATTGTGCCTGTTGGGTAGATTTTATAGAAAAAAAAATTCAGCAAACATATAATAAAAAAGCAAAAGCATGGAAATTCAGGATATGCAGGTAGCAGTTGTTTAATAACAAAATATGCATGGATTTGGTATTTGAATCATTTAATAATCATTTAATATGTGTGGCAAACCTTTTAATCACATCAGTTATAAAACATTCTTAACAATATAATCCATAAAACCATTATAGGTTTTATGTTTATTCAAAAAAACCAGGTTTTTTCAGGGAAGCAAAGTACAACTGCACATCTTAAAACTTTCCTTTGTATAGGAGAGAAGTACCTGTCTTTCCACTTAACAGAGGTTTCTCCTAGAGCGGAAGTTGTGCTAACTGAATGTACAATATTTGGATTTAATTGTAAACTTATGACTGCATGGGCAAGTTTACAATCAATTTGATCACAGACAGGTTGAAACAATTTTTTTCTCCCTCAGAGAAAAATAGATACTTCTTGAAACTACACACAAAAAATTTAAAACCATTTGATAAGTTACCACTGAGTTTTAGCCAATCTATTTGGAAACAAATCACAGTAATTTCAGCATTTACAGGGAGATTGCTGGGTCACTGCATATCAGCATTTTTTAACATGACTGTATTTATGTATAGATATGAGAAAAGGAATAAAAAGGAGAGGAAATAGAAATAAAGTGGCTATTATACCATCCCTATTGTCCAACAATCACCATTCAAGTATTTGCTAGAAGGGCTATCATTGAGCTGGCTACAATTTATCACCATTTTCCTTGTCTTCCTTTCCATTTACTCTCTTATTTTCTGATCTGTATACCCACAATTTCAATTCTTTAAAAGATCCTACTACATTCCCTACCAATACTTTTTTTTGTTTGCTACATTCATTTACATTTTGACAATTTGCTGTAAATAAAAGTTTCCATTTACTTCATGTCAAGGTTTCTGTTCTATCCCCATTGCTTTTCCTTTCCATGTTTCCATTGTGGATAGCTGGCAATAATTGCAGTCATTATAACCCATATACAATCAAAATTATCTAAATCATCTATCTTTACCTCTAATTTTCCACTCTCCCCAAATTTACGTTCTTTTACATGCTTAAGATTATACTCTCTTGCTCTTATGTAACAATTTTCCTGCCCTTTCATAGTTCACTGTATTTCTCTATACCTTTATTTTGATTTTTAATGATTTAAGATTTTTAACCTCATTTAGAGATTGTTAATCTTCTTGATATTTCAATTATTCCAAATAACTATGTGACTAAATTCACATTTCTCTTCTCCAATGCAAATGATTTTGAATTTTGATGAAAGAATTCATGAAATTGAATGTATTGGAAGGTAAATTTGACACAGCTATGTTTATATCTTTAATTTGTATTCTAGAAAAATGGAAAATATTTTATTTTTTTAATGTTTACTTTTTTGAGAGAGAGAGGCAGAGAGAGAGAGAGAGAGAGTGTGTGTGAGCAGGACAGGGGCAGAGAAACAGGGAGATACAGAATCTGAAGCAAGAAAATATTTTATTTTAACCAAATGCTGTGCACAACAAGAACATTAGGACTGTTATTCTACCTTTTAAATATCATACTGATTAAAATGGATGCTACACTTTCCTGATTTCTACAGTATCTGAATGAATTACAGGTTGGACTACTTTGGTATTTTGGAAAAGCATGTTTTCTAAAGGCAAAGAAAAGATTCAGCATTTTAAAAAATATATTAGTATTAAAGTATTAGTCTTAAATTTTCTTTTAAAAGTGATATCCATTCCTAGCTCAACAAAAGAATTTATTTATATTAAATAAAATACATAAATATGACTGAGCTATGAGAGAATTGGTAAAAATTATGACACTTCTCTGTTTAATCTGAAGCACAGAATATGATATAATGGAGCCCAATTCTCCCTGCGGTTAATGTCAAAAATACTCAAATGAGTATAATCAGGTACTCCAAAAAGATTAAAGGTATTCAGATTTGTGAACCTTATTTGTTACACATATCTCT